CTCTCTCTCCCCACCTCTCCCTCTCCCTAACAACATCACTGCTGGCCTACAGTGTATTGGCTTTTGAGCTTGGAGTGGAGGGGTAGTGGTGGAAAAGGGGACTGTACTGAGAGGAGGCGGAGTAGCAGGTGACGCTTCGTTAGCTCTCCCGCCTACGGAGGAGAACCAGCTTCGGCCAGGCTTGTTTCGTAATCGCTGTGATTGCCTGCGCCTTCTGAGTGAAGCGAGCATGGAGAGGCCGGTGAGCTGGGACCCTTCTGCGGGGAGGGTGCGGGCCGGGGCGGCGGAGGGGAGAGCTGTCCTCCAGGGTTTGTTCCGGAGCTGGGGCCTCGGCACCCTTGTGGCTTACAGCTTTCAGCTTGGCGCTTTCCAGTGCACAGCAAAGGCTTGAATTCCAAAGGCTAGGTTGCTACTGGCATCTCCTGGCTCTCCGCCCCAGAAAGGATGCTTGAGGGCAGGAGCTCGGAGCCTCTTCCCCCTCAAGATCATGGCTGTCCGCTCCAAAAACCGGTCCCGGCTGCTGCAGGGCCTCTAGGCGGCTCCACCCGCGGGTTCCAGCTCCCTGGGGGAGAGTTCAACCCCGATAAATAGCTCCCTAGAAAGGATGGAGCCTGCACCGCTTTCTGGCTTTGTGCTGGCTGCTCCAGGAGAGGGTCTTCCCGGGAGGCGCTGCCTCTGCTGCCTCTTGGCTATTCCTTGGGAAGCTAGGAAACATCCACAAAGCTTCAGCGACGCTTCAGAGAGGGTTGAAACGCTGACCATCCTGTTTCACTGAAGGGTGATTTCAGGATACCAAGAGAGAGAAGACATTTTGTTTATTCAGGATCCGTTTACATTGAAAAAAAAAATCAAGCATACATCCTGTTGGCGTACTTAGATAAAAATCCAAATACGATTAAAGCCTCGAAGTGATATTTTCCCCTACAGCTGACTAGAAAGACCACACAACCAGTTACTGTATTTCATTATCTTCTTAACAAAGGATAATGGTGGTCTGTGAGGTAGTGGTCTGCTGACAGGCTAGATGCTCTTAAATCTCAGACTATCCGCCAATAAGGAATTCTTAACCTATTTTGCAAACAAAAAAACAGGCAGAGAGGTCCATCTTTTCCAAGCCATGAGGTGACGTGGTAGGATCAAGATTTCAACTCAAAAACTTTCAGGGAAAGAGGTATGTATACCTGCCAGATAGGCAGTTGTTAGGTAAGACCCAAGACTTTGTCAACCCTGGTCTAACTGACAAGGGTTATAAATGGATTTCTTTTTCTTTTTCATGATTGGACCCTTCCTTTCTGAATTGATGATTATTTTAGCTAAGTAATACATTTTGGTTTTTGTTAAATCTTGGGCACTGGACAAAGTCCTTCAAATGCTTAATTCTCTTCATATCCCTGTTGGATAAGAACAGCATTGATTTGTGCTTATTTGTGTCAGAAACTGTTCCAGGAACAATATCCATTATTCAAAATGCTTGGAATGGGATGTGTTTCCAGACTTGTTCTTTTTTTTTAAATTTTGTAATATTTACATATGCAAAATATCTTTGGAATGAGGCCCAAGTATGAACATGAAATTCATTCATGTTTCATGTAGAAACTCATACACGTGGCCCGGAAATAATTTCATAGTTTTAGTGTTCCTGCTTTACAATTACAACCCTTTACATGAGGTCAGATGTAGGATTTTCCACTCTGAGATCATAATCATCCTCAGAAGTTTTATATTTTGTAGCTATGAATTTCAGATTTCCTACCTGTGCTTCATTTAGTTTTTAACCATGATGTTGATATTGTTATTTTCTCCAAGTTTCAGAGAGGTAAATAATATGTCTTACCTCACACATCTAATATTTGTTTTAGGCAAAATTTAAGTCAGCCAGTTTGCCCTCCTGGCTGTCATGAAGCAGTGCCTCCTAGGTCACCTCCCTGAAAAGTACAAATCCTCTGCTGTTCAGGATGGTAGCATTTTCAGTTATTCTACATGGACTAGATGGAAAACATTGTATAAAATAAATGTGTATGCTTAATAGTGAAACATCCTTCTGATTCCTTTGGCCTAAATTGCTTTGTTTCTTAATACTGCTGGCTCCCAGTCCATAGCCTTATGTTTCGGTGTGTGTCTGCTTTTTTTCGCTTGACCTAAACACTGATTTTCGCTGTGAAAGCCAATCCAGTCTGAAGTTTCTTATCATAGTCTCTGCTAGGGCCTGCATTTCCATGTGTAAGTGACACATAAAGGTTAAAGAAAAACTGACATGGAAGTAGGATATCCACATTGGTCTACAGCTGCCTTAGCTGAGAATACAACATGCATCAGGTCCTGACAGTAGAGTCAGAGGAAGCACTTGACTGGATTTTTCCCAACTTTCCTACACAGTAAGATAGGATGGAACAGTCTCAGTAAGACTGAGGGAATTTCAAGTAGCGTCTGGCCCAGTTTGACATGAACACTTTTGTTAAACCTAGGGATGTACTAAGTCTTTGAAGTCAATGTGGTACAAGTGGATAAGAAAAGAGGCATGGTGAGCAGGTGGGCTGTAGGCTGCATCTTTCAGGTAGAGCATCATCTCTGACTTCCTAAAGGGCAATGACTTTGTTGTTGGCCTTAGAACTATGAAGACAAGAAAAGTTACAAGGTGAGCATAGAATGATCACAGTACACTTACTATCAAATAATAAAAACACACGTGCAAGCTATAATTAATCCTAAAGACACGAGATGATTTGATTTTAATTCCCTGTGTGTTAGGAATGTAAGAAACAAACAACTTATGCCATGCAGATGAATATCAGTGTGTACCATGATGGCACTACATGAAGTCTAGGTTGAATGTCTAAGTGATTGGGAATCTGTGGTTGAAGACAACAGAACACTGAGCTGTGGGGTGGCCCTCGGGATGGGTCATGAGGAAATAAGACATCATCCCTTCCAGCATATTTGTAGCAAAAGAACACTGAGTCAGAGACTGTGATGGAGAGTCTGCAATGGGAACTGGAGAAGAACCATGCCTCCTCCCAGACCATGACACCTCTGGTGTTTTCACACACACAAGCACCTGCAGGGTATACAAAAGCCCCAGGGGAGCTTAGACTAACCTGATTCTAAGGTTACTCACCTCATTTATCTCCCTTAACAAAACAGTGGGCTCTTTCCCTTATAGATATACCCCAAGGGAAGATGACTCTCAGTTTTTACTAAATGAATCTCTACCGGAGTATATAAAGGTTAGAAATGTATCTTTCATTAAAAAGAAAGGTTACATAATGAGGTTAACATTCATGAATCATCAACTGGTTTGGTACTTCTTTTGTAACCTTTCCCCTATTAAGTTTTGGGTTAAGATATTACTCAAGGGATTTTTTTTTTAAAAAAAGGGAGTGTTAACCAGAACTAGCAAGTGCAAACAGTGAGAAGGAAGGAGGATATTAAAATTGTGGCGCTCCCATAGGATAAGAAAATGAAATCCTTGTGGCAAATGGAGATTCTGACTTTACTCCCTGACCGTAAGCCCTCAAGAATTAAAATCTCTTAAGAAAATAGAGATCCCAGAGAAATTTCAGAACAATCAAAAATACCTAGTTTAGAGTACTGTGGCAAATGAACTATAGCAGAGAAATCATTATATCTAATAGCAATGGCAGAAACAAGGCTTAGTGAAGGCAAACATTAAGAATGAGGTGATAAAATTCTCTCAGATGGAGTACCATTCCTCCACAATAATCCTGACCCTCAACTAAAGACATTTCAGTCGTTATGGTCCAATAGTTTAGAAATGAGCTTCAAGTTATAGCGACAGAAGCAAGAGCTGTTAAGAACGTATACATTCAGAGTGGGGCTCCTACCCTATATTTGTTGTGGCAACAGGATGGAGAAAGACAGAATGATCAAGATATACTGCTAAAACAACAGGATTTGATGGATACTGAGGTTCTTATTGGCTCATAGGAAAAGCAGACAGTCAGACTGTCTATTGCCAAACAGTCAATGTCCCAACCCTAAGAATTAAGCATAGTTAAAACCATGAGGTCATGTTTTAGTATGAGAGTCCCCCCACTGACAAGAGAGTGAACAGAATAGCAGACACAGGTAAGGTGGTGTCTGACAGGTGACAGGAATGTTGCGTGGAGTGTCCAAAGGCCCTGGGCATACGGTGGGCTGTACTTTGAAAGAGGTCATCTTCTCTCATGTCAGACAGTGGGGCTGAAAGACTCAGACAAGATCTATAAGGAGTAAGAAAGTGAACAAAGGAAGGTAAGTCCCCTTAGACACATGGTGAAGAGGCTCAAATCTGATTAGAACACGAACAATTCTAACAACCTAAACAAAAGCATTTCAGAGGAAAAGATCACTTATACCAACATAACTGAAATTAGGCTTGTAAAAAGCGGGACCTAAATAAAAGCAAGTGAGAAGGCATTTCACGTAGGGTAATGGTTTTATAAAAAATGTCAAGGCAGGAAATTGGGTGGTGCCTTTGGAAGTGAACCAGGCTGGCTTGCAAAGAGGGGATGTGTAGATACGCATCAGAAGATGAATTTACGGGAAAAGAAATATTAGGCTGGAAAATTTCAATTATTTTCTCTATAAAGCAAGGCACTATAGTAGGATTTTATGGGGCGATAACTTGTATAGGAGAAAAATTTAAGGAAAATGAATTTGTCTAATGGTATGTAAATAAGTACATAAACTGGATAGTCAACTTAATGGTGTGGGGAGGTGTATCTGCCTTATCTACCATTGCCTCCAAAGCACGTAGCACAGTGACTTGCGTGAGATCCAACTCAACAGAGATGACCTATGCTTGATTAAACAGAAGAAGTATTGGTCGAAGATCAGGTAGAAGACAATTGCCCAAATGCCTAGTATTGCAAGCTGAGGCTACGGCAGGGAAGATTAGGAAAAGGGCTGCACATAGAAGCATTGCCTGGGTAGTGGCCAATTACATGTAATTAATACGAGAGAGGATAAGAAGTCCAGGATCATTCAAGTGCTTCGAAAGAAAAGTCTAAAAGAGAAGTTGCTTTGGGTAAAATGAAGCTACTTTGGTGTTATTCATTCAACTGAGAACACGTGGCCCAGAAAGAAAACATAAAGGCCCTTAAGCAGGGAAGAGCTCAGCGGCAGAAGGCAGTGAAAGGATGACGAAGTGGGGCACTGTGTGTGAGGAAAGCAGAACGACCAAGACTAGAGGGCACACGTGTAGGGGCTGAGCAGCAGACGTGGCAACTGGGAGGCAAAACTCAAGGACCACGTGACAGGAGCTGCTTCTATTTATTTTACCAGTAGTGGTTCCAGATAACTATGAAGTGGCTGTCAGAGATTGTCTGGCTCTGTTGAAACTTGGTTAAATGTTTATCACATAGCAGTTACAAAATGAATTTACCATATTTTTCTAGGGCAATGAAGCAAGGAGTACTGTGTGAATAAGACTTTAATAATCCCTTGCAATAGGGATTTGGTCACCACAGTAACAACATCATTTCATAATATATATTTATGTGTCTCTCTCTTTTTTTTTTGAGACAGGTTCTCACTAAATAGTTGAGACTGACCTGGAGCTCACTATGTAGCCCAGGCTGGTCTTGAACTCACAGCGATCCTCCTGCCTCAGCCTCCTGTGTACTGGGATTACAGGCGTGAGCCACCACACCCAGCTTATGTGTCTAACTCTTAAAACCAATAGTCTCTTATACATAGGGAGGACAAATGTTGAGCTCTGGAGCCAGACTGCCTGGGTTTCTTTGATTTTTGTTTTGTTTTGTTTTGTTTTTGGTACCGTAGATCGAACTCGTGTCTTTGGGCTTGTGAGGCAGGTGCCTGAACCACTGAACTAAATCCCCAGCCCCTTGAGACTGCCTGGGCTGCCTGGGTTTAAATCTTGGCTGGGCTGCTTCCTTTCTGGTGACTTTGGAAATGTTCTTCTCTGTGCCTCGTATTCTTCATTTGGGAAATGATAGTAATCATAATCATAATGCCTCCTTAGTAAGTTCACATGAAGTGTTAAATTCTAAGAATACTTTATTGAATAATAAGTATTCAATAAATGCTAGTATTGTTTCCATTAGTAGTGTAGTTACCCTTATGGGAGATATAAACTGGATTATAATTTTGATGTGTTATCTCACATGTTTTGATTCTAGATATCTATTTTTCCCCTGATTTTAAATCATACAGTTAAGTACCATCTTAGAAGAGAAACACTACCTCAGAAAAGCAAAAAAAAAAAAAAAAAGTTTCAGGAGCCAAACTTTCATGATAATTTTAGGTGAACCATTTGAATTTCAAAAGCCTAAATGCTGAATGACAAAGAACAGAAAATTCTTGCCAGAAAGAGTTCACTGGAAGAATTCAGGGTGCTGGGGGAAGTAGCTTTTCTGCCTGGAGGGGAGACAAGTGTTTTCCAGGATGCGAGAGGACAGAGAAAGTGAATCATGTCTGTGGATGGGCAACAGCTTATATTCTCAAACGGAAGCCTTGTGCTTGGCCCCCAGAGGTAGGGAGACTGATGTGAGTGCATCTTGGCAGAGCCTTGTGGAATTTTGCTTTGTCTACCATAGGGAGAAGCCAAGACTACGTCTAGAAGAACAAACTATACTGAGTACTTTAAAAAGGACAGAGAAACTTACACTTTTTAATATACCTTTAATATAGAGAGATGGAAAAAAATATGACGAAAGGTTACCTTTCTTGCCAGTCTTCCTGAAAATGACACGTGTAGATGAAGAGATTCAGGAGGCAACTGGAGAAAAGTTCAGCGACTGTGTCTTGCCTCTTCACTTGATAGCAAGATGATGCTGAACAACATTCCCTTAAATCGCACCATTGCTTGTAAGAAGGGAAAGAATTTCTGTAAAGATACATGGAAATGAAGTAATGAGGACAAAAGTAAATCAAAGCCAGTCCTGGTTGTTTTTAGTGGTGCAGCTCATATATGATTTGCTGGGAAACGTGCCTCAGCAAAGCGCCAGGCACTCACATATGCTTGAGTTTCCCCTTCAGTTACCTTCTTAATATTGACAGATGTGAACCATTCAGGAAGGGGTGCTCTCTGCCCTTTGTGCTCCCTGGGTGTTTGGTATTTATTTAAGGCGGTTTATTTCCTCAGTGATCTTTGAGGCCTTTCTCTTGACAGCGGTAGCTTTAGAGATGAGGCCTCAAATTTCGAGGTATTTTGATGTTATGAAAAAGCCGTATCATGCCTGTTACCTCCCCATAACCTCAGCTTTTTTTGTTTTTTGTTTTTTTACAATTTATAGCTTCTGGTTCTGCTTCCACAAAACCAAAGTTCTGTGGTGGGTAGAAACTGAACTAGCAATTAGATTGAAGGTGCCTTGGCTTTATCCCATTGCAAACCCCACTTCTGTACTTTGCTTCCTGTCTTCAGGCGTTCTTCGGGAGGCTCTTCTGTCGTCTGTCTACCTACAGCCTGATCTGGGGCATGGCAGTGGTGGTGTTGTGCAAGGCTCAAGGTAAAAGACATTCAACTTTCCTTGGCTGCTACTGCTCCTGCTGTGCTGGTTCTGTTTGTCTGCAGGAAACGCCGAAGCATGGAATTTGCTTTGAAGAGTGGGAGTGCTTCTCGCTACTCTCCCCATTTTCTATTTTCAATGCAGAATAACAATTTGATATTTAGAAGCTGTTTCGATAAATAAGCCAGACTTGGGGAAAAATATCCTCCACAAATTAAAATGTAATGTCATTTTTTTTAATCCAGTAACTTGAAAAATTTAAACATCATAATTCCTTGCCTTTATAAGGATAAAGGCGTGCTTGGGGGAGTATAATTAGCTACAGTCTTTTTGGAAGATAATCTGGCAGTAAGCCTTAAAGTGTGGTTTGTCATCTTTTTATAAAACAAAACCAAAATTATGAAATAGGGTATATAGATTGATTTTACAGTGCCAAAAAATGTGCCCATGTCTTCTATTTATCTGCTGAGTTTCCTTGTTCTTCTTGCTCAGTTCTGAGAGAGATCACTGCTCCCTTTCCTGCTGTCCTTTTATTAAAAATCACTTTCATTTTTATGTTGCTCAGCAACCCAAGGCAGTGCTGGCCTTGGGTGGGCGGCTTCGTGCCTGTCCCCAGCTCTGTTCTGCAGCATCTGTCACAGGATTTACCATCTGACTGGTGAGATCAGAATGAATCCACAAAGTAGCAAAGAATCATAAATTTTCCACTAAGTATTTCCATCACCAAGGAGGGGAAAAAAGAAAGAAAAGAAAACACCCAAGAGTTGAAAACTGGTTTTGCTCTTCTTTCTACTCTGCATTCTAAAAGCAACAGTTTTTTTTTTTTTTTTTGAAATTTTTGCCATACACAATTTCAACAGCTTGCAGGAAGTATCACCTGCGAAGAACAGGTACTCTCTCCCAGCACCCTCTCCTTCTGGGAGCATTGTCCTTACATTTCCAGCTGGGCATCAAGACCTAGGACTTGTCCCCTCATGTTACTGGGGAGTTGTTTGTTTGGGAAGCCTTTTTGTACTTACACTTGCTAACATTTATTGATTGTATTACTCTTAAAAACCAAGGGTTAGTGTTTTTGGTCATATCTACCTTGGTGTGTCATCTCATTAATTGGTACTTTTATCTTCATTAATTCACTCCTGTATTTCAAATGAGAGAGTAAGAGTTTGAGATGTCAGTTTATATTCATTTTTCAGCCTCTCTTGTTCTCTAGTAGATGTAGTTGAGATTAAATCTGTGCCTCTATGAAGTGCTTTGCTCATTTACACAGATTTGCAACATAGTATGCTTTCGTGTCATCTAGTTTTAGTAATATATGATTTCCTCTTTGACTAAAGAGTTAAAAGCGGTGTGTTAATTTCTTATTTTATTACATTGTGAATAGTTTCCAGGATGCAGGGTAGCAAATTTTTGTAGCTAATTTCAGGTTGAATTTTGGGAAATATTTTATGTATCTTCTGAAAAGATATATTCTCTCTGAATAATATATACATATTTAATTAATATATACACATATAAATACATATCATTTATATAGAAATGTGATATATTTATATCAAATGCATAAAGTACATATACAGATATACATGCTTTTCAAATTTTCTGTAGCCTCATATTTCACTTTTTTGCTATAATGATTTTTTTTAATATATGGAATTGATGATTGTGAGAGATGTGTAGAAATCTCACCAATGATGATTTTGTGCTTATAAATTTAATTTTATGATTTTATTTGTTTTTACTTTATATACTTTTGAGTAAGGTTTTGAGGTACATGAAGGTTCATCATTGATATATCTTATTTTAGAGTGCTCCTTTCCTCGTTTTGTAAAATAATTGTTCTTCCTTACAGTGCTTTTATCTTCCATTCTTCCTTTTCTCTCCTTTTTACAAAGTCCTATTGGAGTGATACTGAAACTTTGAAACCTGTTCATTTATTATTTTTTTTAATCTTTCATATCCTTAGGCTTTTGAGGTAAATTCTGGAAGAATTCTGTAGCATGGACTTCCTGCCTACTAATTTAGTCATTACTGGTGTCTTTTCTGCTAAGGGATACTTGTTACTATAGGAGGAGTTCCCATTAAATTGTCTGTAATGGTATAAGTGGCTTCCATAGCAAAGGAGAGGAAACTATTGCCTTAGCATTCAATGAAAATGGGGCACATATGGATGTCATTTGGGTGTGAAAGCTTTAATGCCTTCTCAGGAGCAGCAAGCCTCGCAGAGTACTGTGCAGTATATCTTTCTACCTTATGTGCCTATATTTGCTTCTGCTTTCCAGAGACAGACATCTTTATGCTTCCTCTTTCCTTTGTAAGGGGTGTGTGTGTGAGTGTGTGTACAGGATATATAGAACTGCTACATCTTCTTTACTTAAATTGATTACTCCACTTGGTGTTTTCTTTTTTTTGTTTGTTTGTTTGTTTTTTTTTTTCCGTACCAGGGATTGAACTCGGGACCTTGCACTTGTGAGGCAGGCAGTGGAACCACTTAGCTAAATCCCTAGCCCCTTACTTGGTGTTTTCTTGATCCTTGCTTCTAACTTACTTTCTATCCTGTCTGGCACTTTGCATCTTTAAATTTGTTCTACTTCTTTTTCCAGCCTACAAAAGTCTTGAAATTTTCTCCTCCCTGAGCATTTTCATTCTTGTTATTATATTCTGCTATTCTGCTTTTAAAGATTGAACAAACATATATTTATTTACCAACATATACAAATGCAAATAGTTTTTTGTTTTCTTTTTTGCATTAAATTTTTTTTTACTTTCAACCTGCATTATACTTGTTATCAGAAAAATATGTATACGTATACATGTATTACAGTTTTAAAATGTAAGTGTTCTTTTATTGTACCATAGTGCAAGTGGTGACCCAGGATGAAAGAAAGCTGCTGAACACACCAGCAACCTTAAGCTGTTCTCTGCAAACTTCCCAGGAAGTCTTAATTGTGACATGGCAGAAAAAGAAGGCTATAAGCCCAGAAAACATGGTCACCTACAGTGAGAACCATGGGGTTGTGGTCCAACCTGCCTATAAGGACAGGGTAAACATCACCGAGCTGGGATTCCACAAATCAGCCATCACCTTCTGGAACACAACACTGGAGGATGAAGGTTGTTACATGTGTCTCTTCAATACCTTTGGCTCTGGAAAGATCTCAGGAACACCCTGCCTTACCCTCTATGGTGAGAATCTCTGAGTATCCATTGTTTCTGCTGGAAAATACTGTTTCCAAGAATATTTGCATGGTTATAGTGTCTAGTTTCCTAATCACAGGAAGGTTCAATAGAAGACACTTAGCTTTTCATGTTTAGTGTAGCGATTGTTATAGATTTGTAGAGTGTTAAGTAGCAATCATGTAACCCTAAAAAGTCCTATCTGCTATCTTCAATGGAATTTCTATGCCTGGAAAATAAGTGTGAAGTCTTAACTTATCTCTAGAATCCCTTACAACTTTAACCTTTTGGATCTAAAAACAGAATCAGATTTGGCTAGCATGAAGTCTATTTGGGGTGGTACTTTCATTCTGCTTCGAAATAGCTGTTTCAGGACTGATAAGGGCGGCACACACAAAAAGGAGGTTCTTTATGTATGAAATGATGCTAGCTAGCTAGGGATATAACTAGTTACTAAGCTTTCTTTTAAAATCCAGTGCTTAATTTAATGACATTTCTTTTCTCTTTACTGACACACAGCCGAGATGAAGGATTAGTAATTAGAAATAAGGTATAATTTTGGAGCATTGGACTCCTGGTGGTTTAAGGAGAGAGAAGACAAATCTATGTAGGGTTATTAGGAATTTTAATATTTAATATTGAATCTTAAAGCTGAGACTTTAAGCATGACAAATATATTTTCACAGGAGAAAAGAAAATTAAGTAGGTAAGAATTCAAGGGAGTTATGCCAATGCCAAATGCAGGTTATTTTCACTTATTTTGCCTGTAATGAGGCCTCTCTGCAGAATATTGTCAGTCTTTTTTATCAACTTCTACTTTTCCTTCATTCTCCGCCTGTCCATCTCTCTCCTTTCCTCCTTTTTTCCTTCTATTTCATAATCTCTTACTCCTTCCTACCTCTTTTTTCATTTTTCATTTGTTTCATTTTGCTCAATTCTGTTCCTTTTTCTTCTCTTCTTCTTTTTCTCTCATCATTCTTCTACTCCCCTCCCTTACTCATAATCTTTTGAATTTTTCCCAGAAAATCAAACTCCTCTGAAGCTTTTGGCTGGCAATACTGTTCTCTTCCACACTGATTCTTTCTAAGCACACCTTATAGCTTCCGTCTAAGCCATTCTTTGATACCCTAGAGGACCCTGACATTTTGTCTGGCCACACGATCCTATTTACCTGTCTTCACTTTCAACTCTTCTTCCACTGTTTATTGATATTTGCAATCTGGGCCCACTTTGGGCACAGCTGGGGTTCCACAGCTCCACTCCCTCCAGCCTCTGCTGTCTACCCACCTCTTAAGCCTAAAAGCACAGACCAGCTTTCATTTTAGCATTCTCCTGTAATAGTTATGTGGGCTCCAAAGTCAAACACAGAAAGAATGGTCTGCACTGCTTGGCAGAGGCAAATTATACATTCCAGAGAAAATGAAGTCATTAGGTAGTGAATTTTTAAAAGGGAACAGGCTACAGCTGGCCTGAAAATTATCTTTTTCTCCTAAGTCACTTATTTCCCCTTAACTCTACCAGGTGATCTCCAAGGTCCTGCCAACTACTGTGTCATTCTTTGATTTTTCTGGCTATGGGCTATGAAATCCTAGTTTGTGCTTTGTGCAGATCTTCCAAGCAGGCACTTTCCAAGTTTTTTCCCTGCGGCTTGTTTACTGGTCCAGCTTCAAGCATAAAATGGCCATCGCCAAGCAGCAACCCTTCTTTGGGCTCTCCCATATGCCAAGCAGCAACCCTTCTGTAGCTGCTCTTGTGGTTTTGGTCGGTGCAGTTTACAGATATGGAGGTACCCATTGGGAGTTAAAATCTCGTTATTTGAAGTGAATTCCCAAAGGAAGGCGGAGATGCTGGATTGCTCCTCCAAAAGGAGAAAAGAATAATTATCCTTTGGCCTGTTTGGGAAAGAAAAGTATCACATGACTTCTCAATATCTTGTGTCCATCCAGTCAACTCTTCTGGAGAAAAACAACATACAGTGCTTTTCCCATCACGTATTTGGACAGAGCCACCCTGCATTCCTCAGGTTAGGTAATGAGACAAGAAGAACTGAGAAATGCCCAGTGGGATGGGATGGTATGTGCCGCCTTATCTGCCTAACCTTCACAACTTTCTGTGATAATCTTTCAGTTCTGTGAGGAGAATTCAGAACTCAAACGAGGTCCTTTACTGATGGTAGGTCATATATATGTATATATATATTTTTTTTTTATTTTTTATTTTTTTTTTTGTCCCAGTACAGCCCATAGTATTCCTTGACTACAATTCCTTTGAAGACCAACTAAACATCACTTGCTCTGCCACTGCCCGCCCAGCACCTTTCATCTCCTGGAAGGTCAGTGGGTCAGGGATTGAGAATAGTACTGAGAGTGTTTTGCATCGTAATGGGACCACATCTGTCACTAGCATCCTCCGGGTCAAAGATGCCAAGAGTCAGGTTGGGAATGAGGTGACCTGCCTGGTCCTGCACTTGGGAACTGTGACTGGCTACAAGAAGACTCTGAACAAAGGTAAGAGAAGTTGGCTAAAGATAGATATGTTTGCACTATGGATACTGATAAGGAAGGTGGTAAATGTTTCTTAGGATCTTTCATCAGTTCAGCAAAAGAGATGACTAGAGGAGAGAAAGATGTTAGTAAGGAAAAGAAAGAACTGAGGAAGCAAATAAACCAAGTTTTATAGTAATCTCCTCCTGTTCGCAGGGGATACATTCCAAGCACCCCAGTGGCTACCTGAAACCCCAGATAAGACTGACGCTTACATATGATATTTCTCCCACACATATATACATACATATAAAGTTTAATTTATAAACTGGGCACGCTTAGGAATTAGCAACTACAGTTACAAAATAGAACAATTTCTTATAATAATATTCTTTCATAAACATTTGTGCTTTAGGTACATTATTAAATAAAACAAAGATTACTTGAACAGAAGCACTGTGATACTGTGACAATTGGTCTGATAACCAAGTGTGCTATTAAGTGACCAACAAGAGGGTAGAATATACAGTGTCAGTACACTGGACCAAGGTAGGATGTAATAGGTGGTGTGAGATGTGAGCTGTTATTATATAACTCAGAATAGTATGCAATTTAAAATTTAGGATTTGTTTGTGTCTGGAATTTCCCATGTAATATTTTTGGGATACAGTTGACCATGAATAACCAAAATCATGAGATGTGAAATCATAGTTATGAAATACTGCTATACTTTGGTAAATATGAAATGCTTTTATTGATATCCATTCATTTGTTTCTTTCACTCTGCTAAGATTTACTGAGTGTCTATTTTATACCAAACTTTGGGTTGAGCACAAAAAATACAGAAATGAAGAGTTCCTGCACTCACAGAACTTGAAGTCTATTAGGGAAAACAGAAAAGTGCCTGGGCAGTTGTAAAACTGCATGTTGAATGTTTCCATAAGAAAGTCATGATGCATGATGGCAGATCTACAGGTGGGAGAGGGAGGCATCAGTTCAGCCTGAGGGGAATCAAGTTTTCTGGAGGACACACATCTGTGGCAAAAATCTCTGCATTATGTACATTATGGAAATGCTGCTCTGATGTATCTTTATCACTCCTTTTAAAACAATCTACCTCAGGGGCAGGGGATTTAGCTCTCACCTGCCTCCTAAGAGCAAGGTCCTGAGTTCAGTCCCTCATACCAAAAAAAAAAGGGACCTCCATTCAGGCTCCCCCTTTACTCCTTTGTGTTTTCTTTTAAGCCACTATCTCTGGGTCTTGGTAACACAAAATATGAGAATTATTCACAAAAAAGAAAAGGGAGCAGTGATGTTAGAGATAAGATATTTTAATGATAGCCACAATTTTCTTTCCCTGTGTAAATTTGAGCCACTAACTCTGGACAAAGCACTCAATAACAAGGATCCTTAAAATATTACTGCTCTTTGAAGGGGAGGCCTTTTTAAAACAATAAAATGTAAAGGGCTATGCATGCTTCATTGGTCTAGCCTCTAAGGAACATCTCCTGAAGACCTTTTTAGGGTCCCTGAAAAAAGACTAATCAGAAAGTGACTATTTAAATTTAGTCGGTAAAGCTTGCTGGGTCCGATTTGGGTATTTGTGAAGAGATCCTTGGGTTTATGCAAAGCAAAAAAAAAGTAAATCTCCCTGAAAAACAAGAACCTGAAGAAGAACATAACTTCTTTTCTAGGAACACTAAATTTGATTTATATCACATATACTGTTTAATTACATTTTATAATGTTTGTTTATTCTTTGAGCATTTACAAAAATCTTTTGTGCTAAAAGCATGATGGAACTGCAGAAATTAAACAAATCCCTGTCTGAAGATTTTCAGTTAAATTGTGGGACATGACATTTTATTATGGAAGAGTTGAAAGGAGGGGAGGGAAAGGAGGGAAGAAAAGAAGAATCAAGATATTGATAATGAATATTATCATTATGTATATCTAAAACATACCAATAAAATTATAAAAAAACATAAATTTCATTATGGAGAAGATTCTGGGCATTTCCACATCAGGAAGTCTTTCCTTTGCCTGTGTTACAAGGTGATACCAAGGAGCTGATATTTAGTTCAAGTTGGGTTTAATACTACTGGAAAGAAATTTAATAACAAAGACAGAATTGAAGAAATGCAATAAAAATGTTGAGATGAGTTATTTCTGAGGGTTGAGATCATGAGATTCATGGGTTTTTTTTGTTTTTTGTTTTTGTACCGGGGATCGAACTCTGGTCCTTGCACTTGCGAGGCAGGTGGCACAACCACTGAGCCAAATAAATCCCTGGCCCATTTTTCTTTTCCTCTCAGTATATTTCAAACTTCTTCAGTAAATGTATTACCTTAATGGAGAGTGTGATAAAGACCATGGGCTATGGAGGCAAACAGGCTTTTGACTAAATCTTAGCTCTTCTATTTATTGTGCTGACATTTTGTTTTGTTTTGTTTCTTGTTTTTTTTTCATCCCCCTCCTCTCAAATCCCCTCCCCTCCCTATGTACAAAAGCTTTGTTTCCATTTTCGG